TAAGACTACTATCTAAATTCATAGAAGAAATTCTTGACGCAATTTTAGTGATGGCCTATCACCTTGATATTGATCTCAGAAAGTTCTTCAAGTAAATATACAAAAAAAATGGTTCGCACGTTTCTCCTAAAACTGGTTTTTTGCATAAATTATCAATTTTCTATGTAATTTTTACTAGTGAACTCTGATTGTTTTTATTCGATAGATAGATACATTCTCTTTTGGATGAGAGAAAGGGATTTTCTATTTGATTCTCAATAGCAGAGCTATGATGGGTTTTCTAGGAAAATTTTCTTAAGTTTTTCTTCAATTTTAAGATTTTGTAAGTCATAAAAAAAGAAATAAAATTAAAATTAAAAATAACTTCTCCTTCATTCGAATTAGCAAGGAGTTCTCTTATAAATAAGAGTAGACAAATTGCTATAGCTTTAAGTATATTGAGCAGCTATTTACATGCGTACAAGTCTCGTTTTGTACTTTGGCTCTTGGAAATTTCCGTGATGATAAGGTTTAGAGTTATGAAAAGATTTTCATTGATGTACACTCATTAGCCGAGCATCTACAGAAAGTTTCATAGAAACCCTACGCACTGTATTAAACATCGATTTTATAGTGGGGCGGAAGCAGCCTGAAGCGGATGATTTAATGAAATTTAATATGATCTTAAAATAAATTATTTGATCTGAACTAAGAATGAGATCACTTTCCAATGAAAATGTATAAATTATCTAGTTTAATGAAATTTGTACCCTCTATAAATACATCTCAAAATTTCTCAAGTTACATTGAATTTTTTTCGATAGTTATTCATCGCTAGTTCGAACAGAAAAATGATCAGCAATGTTCAAGAACTGAAAAATAGGAATTCATAAGTTGTGAAGAAATTCTCAACGAAGTTATGATAATTCGTTGGAGGAAACGACAATTTATCGTTAGTTTCTTAAGTGCTACCTTTCATAAAACTCAAAATAATCATTTTTCTGCAATATTTTCCCTAATCACACATTCATTTTCACATATTTCTTGATGAGTATGAATGTGAAAACAAAGAATATCGTGAATAGTGTGATGTTTTTTCTTCTAATTTTAGCAATCATGACACTGCGTAGGTATTGTGAAGGAAATTCTATGTCTCACATCCCTCGCTTTTTATCACTTGAGACTCTTCTCTCATGAATATAACACAATTATTTTTTGCTAAGCTTTTAGATTACATACTCTTATGCTATCGCTTTCTTGTATTGATACTTCTGCAAAGCTTCTGTTAGCTATATCAAGATGTCCCTTTCTTTACTAAGAATGTACTATATGAATGGACTTTTCTCTCTTTGATTTGATATACTATTTATTAATATTCTCTGCTTGGTTATTTTTCCAAGCAAACTGTTGAAAGTATTCTGTTTCTTTTTTTTTTCTATTGCTATTCGAATTTATCTAATGCTTCAAACTTTATTCAATAATAAAAATCAAACCTGCTCTTCGTCGTCGATTAACTGTTAATGATAATTCTTCATCTCTTTGTTGTTTATCACGTTCTAAATCATTTCTCATTAATTGTTCTTTAAGTTGTGCTACCTAAAGACATTTAAAAAAAAAAACTCAATTAAAAAATTTTAATAATATATATAATGAAACTATTTAAAATAAAAATAAAATCTACATTATAAAATATGAAATATAAACTTTCTCTAATCGATTAAATACATTCAATTAGAACTACTAAATTTAAGAGTTTATATTTAATTTATTTATTATTATTATTGAAATAATAATTCGAAGGATAAAAATTTTTACCTGTTGTGTTAATAAATTTTTATTAACTTCACTCTCTTCCAATTGTCGTTTAGTATTTTGTAATTGAGATTCATACTAATATGAAAAAAATTAATTTTATAAGTTATGATAATAAGAAATAGAAGAGAAAAACAAAATAAAAATAAAAACCATTTGTTTATTTGATTCAGCAAGTAAAAGTCGAGCTTGTAAAATTTTATCTTCTTCATTATGAATTGGTGTTGTTAAATTTCGTTGTGATTGAAGTTCATTTAATAGTACACGAATATCTCCTTGTTGTTGTTGATCTTTATCACGTTTTATTTCACGTTCGATTTCTTGTAAACGTCGATCAATACGTGATTGAACAATCTAGTACAAAAAAAATATTTATTGTGAACTATGATTTCTTCATATATTCAATTTTTGTCATTCGTATTCTTATGTAAAAGGAAATATTAGTCATAACTGCTTTCATTTCTATTGGAATCTTTCTCGAGTTAATAGAGGATAATTTAATTTGTCTTCGCCGTTAGTCACATGTGTAAAATGATTTCAAAACGATACAAAATTTTTTTTCCTAGTAAAATTCATAGACTATTAACTGGTAAAAACAATAGTTTCATTTTTGGAATATCGGGTCTACAAAATTGATAATTATGCGAAAAAACAGAAAAATTTCAATTTTTCTAAACAAAATATTCTCTATCTACACTCAACAGAGATCTTTCAGAGTTTGTGTATGATATGAATCATTGTTTAAGTCTACTGATGAATTAGATATATTTTGAAAGCCGTTTGCGATAACTTAGCGAATTACACATACTAATATATACAAACAACCATTGAACCATTAGCTGAAGAATAATCCAAAAATAATGTTAATATATTCATTATAAACCTCAGCTCATAAGAATTTGAAATAGTTATTTATTATGACTTAACTCTCTTCAGAAGTTATGAAGCCGTTCAAAACAAAGTAGATGCTTATTTAATAAGATAAACCAAACACAATTAATTTTTATCGACTCACTCTTTCCTTTTTTCTGTTACTATCATAACATGGTATTGATGTTGCTTTTGCTCACTCAACAATATAATCAAAGAAAACAAAAATCCAAGATTAGTATGTGATTCAACTATCGTTCTTCATCACACAGTCATTGGAACAAGCAAATAGTACAACATTAAAAAAATGGGCACTCGGTAAATCAGACCACATCATTAACAATATTAGACAAACTTAATACACTACTTAGAAAATTATGTTAATCGTGACTGTTTTAGAATTGCTCTTGGAAGGTAAATGGTTAAGTATAACAATTAGAACTGTATTCTTTCGTGTAACACTTAAGAATCATTTGAAATAATTTTAATGATATGCAGAGTGATAAAGAATATACCTTGAACATATTGAATTTATTTTAAGATCTTTCTTTTTTTGTCGGTATTGACACTTTATTTCTCTTATGTTATAAAAAATGATTTTTCTTTCACAAAATGAATAATCTTTAATTAAAGTTTGAGTCATTTTTTTTTTGCAAAAAAAAACATCAGAACATGAATATAATAGCTTCTAAAGAGTATTACAGTCATAAGTATGCGTGACTGTAACTCTCATGATGTATATATACGTAACAATATTACATAAATATTAAGCATTCCAATTTAACATTCATTGTTAAAAGCTCAGATAGAATTAGCTATGATATAATTTTAAGAAAAAAATAAAAAAAAAATTCTAATGTCAAACCTCTTCAACTAGTGGATCTTGTTTGGATAGAAATGAGTCATTTACATCAGCATCATCACTGTCATTTCTATAAATATATATTAAATTAAATATCTAAAGAAAATATATATTTTTTTTGTTTTTGTTTACAAATTTAATGATTCTTTTTGTTGTTCATGTTTTGATGAGGTTGTTTTACTAATTTCATGTTTAAGTCTTCCATGTTCAGTTGATAATGATTGAAGTTCATTATTAAGAGTATGTAATGAACGTCCAATAACATCATCATTAAAACGAACACCTTTACTACTGTTATTTCGTTGATGATTCGATGATGATGTTGTTGTTGTTGTACGTCGTGAACCTGTTGTTGTTTGTTCTTGATCATAATCTATTTAGATTTTTTAATAGAAATATTAATGATTTCTATGACAAGAGAAAAATTATTTACTTGAGTCAAATGTTGAGAGAAGTCCATCACTTGTATTACCATTATTACGAAACTGAATATTCAAAATAAAGAAAAAAAAACAAACAAATAATTATTTACTGTATCTAATAAAGATGTTGATGTTGGTTGTTGAATTTGTTTTAATAATTCAAAATTTTGTTGTGCATGTCGTAAATTATTTTCGGTATTCTAAATTAATAAAAGAAATAGTCAATATATGAAATAAATTTTTCGTTTTTACTATTTTTAATTTACAATTAATGCTGTATTTAAATGACGGATCTTGTCAGTCGATTCAAAATTTGTATTTGGTAATTGTCGTTTGGATGATGAACTCATTTCTCCTTAATTTTTCTTCTTCTCTTTCTTCTTTTCACTGTCTAGGTCTTTGCCTTCATCAATTGTTCATGCATTTATTTCATTTTCTAGTTACCTAGGAATATTCTTCATGATCTTTATAAAATTCATTATTTTCTTATTACATTTCAAGTAGGAAAAATTAAAATTTCATCTTATTGAGCAAGAAACTAGTTATCTACATGAAATTTTAAGCTAAAAGGAAATTTCAAAATATATAATTACTCAATAAAGAAACAAAAGATGTCACTGTTTTTCAATCTTATTGGTTTTATATTATCGAAAAAGAGAACATTAAGTAGGCAAACAAGAGAATAGGAGTGAGTGCGCAACACACTGCTAGAATGTCTTCCGAGAAAATATGTTTTAAACATACAATTATTCATGAGATTGTTGTTTTTTTCTCACACCGAGAAAATATGATGAACTCTATATAAAATACTGTTACGAGAATATTTAAATATCATAAAAAAGAAAAATTTAAACAGTTATCTGTTTTTTATTTTTCATTTTCTCACATATATAATGAATAAATAAAAAAAAACAACCGATAAATGACTCATGAACAAGTAATCAACAGTAAACGATAGAGATCAACGATTTCTTTTACTATTACGAAATATTGAAATCCTTTATATACTTCAGATTTTTATTTTTGACTCATTATATATACATACATTTGTAATAATGAATGATCCATCAAAAAAACGTGGTCATCTGGCAAATAATACATTACATAATTTAGTTCGATCAAATGTAGAAAAAAATAATAAAAATCATCGTCCACAAATACAAACATTTTTAAATAATACAACAGAAAATAGAACAAATTCATTTCAACAACAAAAACAAAATTCTATTCAAAATGGTACATCAACACCAAAACCATTACTTGATTGTTTAAAACCTGGACCATTATTAACATCAAAACCATATGAAAAATCAATATCACAACGACGTAGAAAAAATAAACCATTTGATCGTGAAAATCTTGGTAGAAATATTTTTTTTTTATTTTTAAACTTGTATTTATTTAATGAAAACTATTCTTTATATTTCTATTAGATCGTATTGATGATGATCAAGTTAATAATTCTAATATTTCACAAGAAAAAGTAAGATGAAAATGAAAACAATATTTAATTATTAATCAAAAATTTAGATTGATATTGATCGTTCAACGATTGATATTCGTAAACCAACACCTGAACATTTATCAGCATTAGAAAAAACATTTCAAAAAATTCTTACAGAACGTTGTTTATCTTATAATAGTCTTCAGCAACGACAGTTAGTCTATACGAACTTACATCAACTTATTACTAATGCACGAACAGGTAATTTCCATTTTGCATTATAATATAAGTATAGAGTAGAATTGATTTGTCATAGTCTTTCATCGACATTCTATGTATATTTTTTTTTAATGCATTAATTTTTCAAGACACTTTTTTTATATCTATTTTCGTCAATTTTACCATGAGGAAGAAAAAAAAATATTCGCAAAATATAATTTATTTTGTTCGTCCTTTTCATTTGAATTAGCCAAGCGAAACAGTATAGACGGTAATATAACACGAGAAAATATAGACGCTATAATTGAAAAAGCATGAGGGGATGAATAAAATAACGTGTATTTACTAGAATTATGATTTATATAGAATGAACTAATTTAACTAATTCTTTATTTGTTTTCTAAATTTAGATTGTCAAATAAATTTATATGGTTCTATATATTTCGAATGTTGTTTGGAAAAACCAGGTATTATGGATATTGATGTACAATTTAAAGAAATATCACAATATGATACACTTAAAGAATTACTTGATATAATTAAAAAAAGTGGTATGTTTTCTCAATTAATACAAAATAAAATAAAATAATATATATTTATAATATAGATCTATATAAAGAAGCTAAAATTGATACTGAACATAAACCATCATGTATTCATTTAATAATAAAAGAACCGAATATGCGTGTTAAAATAACTTCAGGTTATAATCGTGGTTTATTTTTATCAAAATTAATTCGACTTTATATTAAATTTGATCAACGTGTTATTAAATTACTTCGATTATTTCGAATACTTACAAAAGTTTGTTTAAATTAGTTTCTTTTTTTTTTTATTAAAAAACATAATTTATTTATTATTTTTCTAGACGTGCAATATTGATAAACCAGAATTAGGAACACTTCATCCAGTTGTTTTTCATATAATGGTTATTCATTTTCTTCAACAACTTGATCAACCTGTTTTACCATGTCTTCATGAATATGTACGATTTCCTATAGGATTTTTTTTTTCTTTTAATAACAGGTGATCGAAGAGTATTCATACAAGATGTATGCTTACATTTGACTCATGAGAAAATATTTTCAATCAGTGAAAAGCTATGAATTAGAACTAAAATTTCATGTTCTTTTCAAATATGAGTTTAGAAATTTTCTCGTAATTTTTGTTCGAAGGTGTGAATCTTCTTTCCAAGCGCATCAGTACGCTCATATCAACATTTCCACCCTACTTGTTTATGTTGATCTCTTTGAAAGTATTATAGAAGAGTCAAAATACTATAGGTCATAACGAGAGTTTAAATATGAACTTAAAAATATTGTGTCTACTTTTGGTCAAGAGTAGTGAGTGACTCTTTTTTTTTTTTACAAAACCTAAAAGATTATTTTTCAAATAAATTCCTTTTCTACTTCACTAGTCTCGAACAAAAACTGAGGCAATACTTCTACGTTCATATTCGAAAAGAGAACAAAATTCTGTTTCTAATATGTAGCTTTTAACTTGTCAGAAACACTTTCTCAGAGGTTAAATGTGAACAAACATCCTGTCTAAAAACTCTTCGATCACTTGTTAAATTGAATAAAAAAGAAAAAAAACAACCATTGAATTTATAGGCTTATGGAATTGATCGTGTGCCTATAACATTAAATGAAAATCAATATTCAAAATTTTTTAATGTTTGTGAAAAATATTCACATGAATGGAAATCAAAAAATACAACTAGTGTTGAAATGCTTTTTTTACAATTACTTTCGTATTATGTTAAAACATTTAGTTCAAAACAATTTGTTGTTTCAATACAAACCAGAATGCCTGTCATGAAAATTGATAAAAATTGGCGTAGTAGAAAATTACTTGTTGAAGGTAAATTTATTTTGAAAAATAATAGAAATATTAAGATAATTTTTCTTAATTTTGATTAACATTTTAAATATGAAAAGAAACGAAAAATTCATAGTTATATATCATAGAGGCTTTCATATGAAAGTAAGTTCTTGAAATTGATTTTTTTGCATATTCATTATAAAAGTTCAAAAAGCAGTTTTTTCGAATGATTTGTTAGAGAAAATAAAAAAGTATATGAATATGCAATCTTTGCTATGATATAGATACCTGCTCTTAAAAACAAATCAAAAAAGAAATTTTCTCAATAGTACATAAAAGATTATAGAAATGATTTAGTGTTCGCCAATTTTGACATAAATATTTTGATGTATATTATTTCATGTCGGTAAACTTAGACAAAAACTTTCTATGTTCTTAAATTGATAAGAAATTCGGAACTTGTATTGAATGCTATATCATTGTTGTTTTATTTTTGTTGTTCATGCCATAACACAGATCGATTCAAATGAAAATAGTTCGAAAGTTAGATTTTGTCGGTTGTTGTTTGTATTGATCTATTTGGTTGTAAAAAAAGTTTTTCATGATGTAAAATTGAATAATTTTCAATAGAAGTGTTTGAGTAATCTTACAAGAATAAAATATATCTTCATTTAACTACTCAATAATCTTGATATCTACTAAAAAAAAAGAGAGTTGTTTCGGGATAAGAATTATCGTTTAATGTCGAATGTCTTTTATAATAGGAAATATTGAATTATAAACATATGCTCTTGAATTTTTCAGAGACCACCCATAAAAGATGTCTAAGAAGAGGAAGGAGGAGGAATGGAGTCAAACAATGGGATTATTACTTATAGATCTATTATGAATGATCTCCACAGGTGCAGAATCTTCCAAAAAATAAAAAATTTCTTCCCCTTCCGCGGAAATTTTCTCCAAAACTTTTCCTAAGCTGTTTTTTCTTCACCGTTCACAGACCAACTTTATTTGTCACAAAATATAAGTAAAAGAAAGCATGGCAATATTTTGTTCTGTTCGTACAACATACGAATTCTTTCTACTTGTTCTTTTCTTAAGCGGTTCAAAAGAACTGAACCAGGTGAAACTAATTTGAATAGACGATGTTGTTCTGTTTTTTTTTTGAAGAAAATCCAATATTTGTCCTTCAGTTAAAAGAAATAGTTGTTGAGACAGGACTAAAAAACCAACACAACATATAGGAAAATAACTAGCATATAATGGAATTATCCATGTTGGACAAATCCTTAACATTCCTTCTTTCGGCCACGATACAGTTCAGCAAGCGATAAAAGGGTGCAAAGAAATCTGTGGGAAAAAGAATTGCCAAGATGTCATACTTCGATAGCAATGTGTGTGTTCTTGACAAGATCAAGAGCAGAGCATACAAGTAAAGCGAAAAACTCGAAAGAAGAAATTATATCCTGTAACAGTTAATTATGACGAGACCAAGCTTTTCCCTTCTAATAGTTTTTCAAAATTTCCCCGAGTAATGCAATTTTTCAAAAAATTTCCCCCTCCCGCGCGGGGGCGCACGAGGAAGATTCTGCACCTCTGGTTTTCCCAGACTAAATATTGTCGATATTGACTTACTTCAATCATAGTCTATGTATTAGTTTGCATTACAAAGACTCCTAAAAAGGACTAGATAAGAGTGATGACTGTGCGTGATTTGAACAAAACCGCTTCAACATTTGCTGAAATCCTACAGTGAAATTCGTATATTCGGTTCTTTCACCAATACGAAATAAGCCTGGTTCCTATGATATTATGCAGTTTTTTTCTTATTGAGATTTTACATTAAACAATGATTGCATTTTTTGATCTTAAAAATATTGTTAGTTTAGTGTACTAATAATAATACTAGAACAGATCAAGAACATAAATAATATAAGAGATTATCGTATCTAATCTCTTGCATATATCATACGATTAAATTTCTGTATTTATTTAATTAAGTTTCTTATTAAATTTCAATAGATCCAACTGATATAAAACGAAGTTTATGTCAAACAATGCAATCAATGCGTTCAATTGATTATTTTCGTAGTACGTTAAATGCTGCATTGAATTATTTTGCTCGAAAACAAAAAAATTTGAGAACAACAAGTTCAAATCAATGTTCAATTGAAAATAATGATGGTGATTTAATCGAAATACTTCCTAATGATGTAAATGGTATTCCAACAAATGAACCATCTAATTTATTACATAATTCATATAGATTATTTTATAAACGTTTACCACCAACAGTTGTACGTGATGCTAATATAAAACAAGGTCGTGTACGAGAATATTATAAACGAATATATGATAATAAAAATAATAAATTACCTAAACCTATTATTCAATTAAATATTTCAAATGATAAATTAGATAATTTAGTTGATAATGATATTCAAGAAGCATTTCAACATGATCTTGAAAATAATTTTGAAGTTATGGATGAAAATGATGATGATGAAAATGAAAATCATGCACATTTATTACAAAGAATAAATTCAAATGAAGATGATTATGAACAATTTTTAAATGATAGTTTACAACAGATTAGTATTGAAGAACAACAACAACAAGAATCAATGTTAGTCAAAAAAAAATAAAATTTATTTCTAAAATGCAATACTTTTATAAAAAAAAAAGAAATTTCGTCTATGAATAGAAAAAATTGATTTAGTGAAAAATATTTTAAGAGAAGAGAAGATATATATCTCAATATTCTCTATTGACAGACGAAATATCATTGAAAATAGAAATCCCTATGTAAAATAATTCATTCGTACAAACATTAATGCTGCTTTTTTTTTAGTCATGAAGAATCTCCAACAACTGAAGAAGAGCAACAATCAATTGACGATGAATCACCAACAATAATGACTGATGCTCAGCAAGGTATCTTAAGCACATATGACGAAAAACAATTCAATAAAGATAATAATATTAGTAATCAGAACTCCGCGTGGGATGCAACAAAACATCCTATCCCATGCAAGGTTATGAAAATATTTCATCCCATGAAATGTAGCAAACATCCTATCATGATGAACGTCTTTTGCAACACCCTTTTTTCTATTAAGAATAACTACATCGTTTCGAAGTATATTGTCTTTCTTGCCGACATGTGAACTTAGTTATGGTTAAATTACGAAATATAAAATAGAATGATGTAAAATTTGGTAGTATCAAGAGAAACGATGAATGTGTTCAAAAAGTTCTTTTTCGATATTTGACAAGGGTGAAGTGCCTTCGAATGAATAGGATGGAACAGAAGAGTTTCCATTCTAATGAGACGAAGTACTTGAAGATATTCTCATCTCACACTGGATAGCAAAGTTTTGAGGACAGCCCCATTCCACATGACATAGTTCATCCCATGAGATGATTTTTTTTTGTCGTTCCACGCAGGTGACCCTGGTAACATTAATATAAACGAAATTGATATAGAGAATTTTATTCTAAATATTATTAAAAAAATAGAGACATATTTTATAAAGAGAATATAAATAAAAACAAGTTGACAAATGTTGCTTTAAACACGAAAAACTTATCATTTGGACTGTAGACAAAAAACACATATTCGAAACTCTAACTAATGTAAATTAAAATGAATTTATCTTTAGAAAACATAATCAGTGATAAAGGAGAAGAAGAAGAAGAATTGAATGAAAATTTTAAAACACCATTATCTATGGATGAAACATCAATAAATAATATTCAATCCTCAACTGAATTACATCTATCAGAAGAAAATACAACCAAATCCACTTGTTCATCGTCAATAGATGTTAAAACAAATTCTATAATAACTGATGATAATAGTAATGATGATATTCCATTAGCATTTACATCACCCATTAAACTTGAACAAATTATCGATAATGAACAATTAAATAGTGATAATAATACTTGCACAGATAATTCTAGTGAATTTTTTTATGATTTTCAATCTAAAAACTTTCATGCTGAACAGGTAAAATTGTCTTTCAATAATCATCAAAAATAATACTGATCAAAAGACAAAATATGTAGTAGAGAAAATTAGGATTCTATTAAAGATAAATAAATTGAAAAAAGAAGGGAGAAAACTTCTAATCGTAGTGATCTCGTCGATAATCAGTCTAAATCTAGATATACCAGTTACAATCTAATAAAAATGAAACGCCTAAAATCGTATTCAACAGTATGTTACAACAAAATATTTTTCGTGTCAAAAAAATATGAGAATTTTTTGTCCAACGATATGTCCTTCAAAACAAGGTGGTTATGTAAATAATGATGAACTGATTAAAAGGTTTCATCTTGTTATTATTTAATGCAAAAAAAAAAAATTTTTTTTCTTATGAGAGATTTTAGTTGTTTTTATTGTGTGAATTTTTCTCTAACAGAATTCCAATGTTACCCAGGCAAAACTAAAATTTCAGTTCTGATTTATAAGTACTTAGCAGAGATGTCTATTGCGGCTGAAAATCATCGACTGACGCATCGTGTTCCTAGAAGAAATAAGACTGACATACCGTTGCTGAGATAGTTTGCGAGAAGTTCTTCGAAAATATCTTTCATTACTGTTATTAAGTAGCATAGTTTGATTGAATCTCTCAGATTCACTGTAATTCTAAGTGTTGGACTTGTAGATACTTAAATCGGGTACAAAAATTCATGAAATTTTACTATTTTCATAAAAGAGAAGCTGTCCCAATAGTATTTATGAAACATATTTCCCGCTACTGATCCCATCATGGTAGCAATGTGGCCATAGATATTTTGTGGTGTCTAGTTAAAATTAGAAATTCAATTTTGACTAGACAAATTTAGTTTTTCTTACAATAAAATATACAGCCAGAACTGTTTTTTTCTTTCTTGAAAAAAAAAAAGGGTGCTCCATATGTGTGCACAACTTGTAATAGTGTTGGACATTTAAAAGAAGAATGTCCTGAATTAATTATTCCGAATATGATCGATTTGCCAGCTATTAGTGAACAATGGATTGATATTCTTTCAAAACTTTGTCGACAAATTACTAGTAATATTTAATTTAATATATTAAAAATAAATTTAATTTAATAATAAATATAGATCGATGTAAACCAAGAAAAAATGATGTAGAAAATCGTCGAGAAATTTTACATCAATTAGAAAAACAATTTCAAAAAGATTATCCTGATTGTAATTTACATGCATTTGGTTCATATTATAATGGTTTTGGTTTTCATCAAAGTGATTTAGATGTTTGTATTGTATTTAAGGATGAACGAGAACAAAATGTTTGTATTTTATTGATCAAATTTTATTTTGCTTTTTAATACGTTGTTGTTTTTTTTTCGAACTTCGAATAGAATGATGAAGTTATTCGAATAATGCAAAAAATTTTACGTCTAATGAAATCTTCAAATACATTTGTTGATGTTCAACCTATACTTCAAGCTAAAGTACCAATTATTCGAACAAGACATCGACAATGGCATATTGCAATTGATATTAGTCTTCATAATATGCTGGTTAGGTTTTATTCAAATTGTTGTTTTTTTCTATCAATAAATATTTCATTTATTTAGGCTATTGAAAATACACGATTATTAAAAACATATACTGAAATCGATTCTTGTGTATCAGAATTGGGTTATATGATTAAACATTTAGCAAAAGTAAGATATATTGAAAATTGATTTTATTATTGTAATTATTGAGAATTATGAAAACAAAATGACGCAATAAAAAAGAAAAATTTAAGTGTTCCTATATTCAGTAGTCAACAGTTGTTTTTTTTCTGTCAAGCTTTTATCTTTGGATATCTCTACAGGCAATGATATAGGCTAGTTTTTGCTTCTCGAATTATAGTGGTAAACATAGCTGATAGATTGGTAAATACAAAACCATCAAGAAATAAGATATATCAAACAGAAGTACACATATGGAAAAATAAGAATATAAGAAGTATTATTAGAATTAGGCTTGACATTATATTATTATTTGCCCATGTTTCATAAATTTCGATGATATTTTCACTTTTTTTACTAAACATATGAAATATCTAAGAACAGATAAGTATTGAAGATCTATATATATAAAGAATGACATGTATACTGTTATCTAAAAGATACTATATTCACTTTTATTTTCAACATGTTACAAAAAAACAACGGTTGAATCTAGTTTAGCATGCAAATCAATAATAACAGAATAACAAATACGATTTAATCAGTGAATAAATGCTGTTTTTTTTTCATAACCCTAATTAACAAAGAATAAAAAAAAAAAGACATTGGATGAAGGTTGTTTATTAATCTATTTACCAATCGAGCACCTTCTTATTATAGATAAAGATAGAAATACAATACATTTAATTACTAAAAAACAATTAAAAGAAAAAACAACCGAAACTAATGAAACAACCCTCTTATTTCGATTTAAATCTCATTCAATAATTAAAATCTTATGAATGAGTTTAACTAAGATATTTTTTAAATAATTGAATCGCGTATATAGGTATTAAACGATTATATTAACTATTACGTATTTCAATAAGATATCACGACAGTTTTTACCTGGAAATTCATTTCCATTTTTCTCGACGTTTTTTTTTTCCTCTATTAAATTATAACCAAATAGACAAATAATAAAATTCCAAATAAATATTTTTTTAATTATCAATTTCAATTTCCTAATATTTGTTTATTTCTAAATAAACTTCCGATGTTGAAAAAAAACAACAATTATAAACAAATATTTTTTTTATGAAATTTAGTTATGTTGTATTGGTGATGCAAGTCGTGGTACATTATCCAGTTATGCATATATTATTATGCTTATTCATTTTTTACAACAAATTCAACCACCTGTTTTACCAGTTCTTCAAAAGGTTTTCAATTATTTGATACAATTTTGCTTTTGCTTAATTTTATTCTTTCAAAAAATAATCGTTTTTAGTTAAATGATCCGACAAAGAAAACTTCAATGTATAAAAAATGTTCAAAATGGAATGTGTATTTTTATGACGATCTATCTAAACTGGTTTGTAGAAATAACATTATTTTTGAAATTATATTAAAAATTAAATTTTCTTTGTTTTTGTTTGTTTGTATAGAAAGATATTTGGAAAAATGAAAATAAATTATCATCTGGAGCATTATGGATAGAATTTTTACGTTTCTATACTGAACAATTTAATTATGATGAACATATTGTAACGATTCGACAAATTGAACCATTAACAAAACAAGAAAAAGGATGGTTTAGACAAACCATAGCTATTGAAGATCCATTTGAACTAAGTCATAATTTAGCCGGTGGTCTATCTCCACGAAGTATATATAAAAACCAAAAAACAAAAACAATTTATCTTGAAATTAATAAAATAAAAGAATAATCTCTTTTAGACTGGATTATTATTCGACGAGTTTTTATTCGTGCTCGTCAACAATTTGCTATACAACCTGAAAATGTCAATATTTCAAATCCCGATATGTCATCTATTGAGGTAAAAATATCCCATGCAATTCGAACCAAACAAATACTCAGAGACGTATCGAGTGGGGGGCGAGTGGGGTGTTACGCCCCTCTGCTTCTGAAAATTTTGTTTTTTTAGACAACAAAATAGAAAAAAATCTCTTTTCTAGAATACCTTACGCCCCTCCCCTCTCCGCTCTGGAGACCAGGGTTGCCAAATCCAAATTTTAGAAATCAGGAGTTTTTTTTTTAAATCAGAAGTTGAACAGTAGATTTTTTCTAGAAAATCAGGAGAAAAATCAGAAGATTTTTTGAAATCAGGTTAAACAGAAAAGTACCAGACAGTTTTCTCTTGTAGAGGCAATATTGTCACTGTTAATTTACAAAGTCTTGTGACTTTTCTCTGTCAAATGAGTAGGGAAATAATTATCTCGCAAGTGAAATAAAGAAAAGAGACGGGTAATCATGAATATGTCTCGATATCTCAAATTGAAAATCTTGAAACAAAAAATCTCGAATAAATCTATGTCTATATACCTGTCTACTTTGTTCATAGTACAATCTCGGGTCTGTCGTTTCGATCGCCGGAACAGTCAACAACGGATCGAAAAGAGGCTGAAAAACTACGAAACTGAGCGGTTTCATAATGCTTCGGCGTGTTTCTTACGCCGGATATGTTGTATTCGGCAATATCTGATTCTTCAAAATTGCTGGATTGATTACAGATCTTGTGGTATGCTGATAGATTACCTTATGCGATTGAATTACTGTCAAAATGAAGTAACTCCTCTCTTCCCAATCACATTTTGGACGATCGTATGTCTCCAAATTGTACACGGAGAAATATAATCGTATAGAAAGAATTACACAGTAAAGCGAAAACTGTTGACGAGCTTTGTTTGTCCATAAACGATCGTATTTCTGCGCATACGATCACGAAGTTATACAGTTGCAATACTGAGCCATTGTGAAACGCCGTCTCTCTCCGATTACGAGCGTGTCTGTTTGGTATAGGTTAATATTGACAACGGTTTGATGAGACTTGGAAGACATCGGATACGATGGAATGAGATAGTAACAAATAGGGAGAGGGGGGGGCGGTAATCAAAAAGCAGGGATCGTACAACCTACTCAATACGCGTATGTCGTTTTCTACAGAACACAAGAAGATGACCAGTTTTCGCTGGGAAAAATCAAGCGTTTTCGATAGCACGGGGGTCAAACGATTTCTCACAAATCCACTGTATGGGCGCCCTTGCAACCAATGTATTAGGTTAAGCTGGGAAACGGAAAAGTGAAACTGACTTGCGAAAAATGATCAACATCATTGAAGAATTCCTGAAAATTGAAAAGAAGAAAAAAACTTCTTTTTCTCACATGCGCAGCCATCTGAAAAAAGGAACAAAAAGCAAAAACGACATTTAATGAATTCTGATCGTTTCGATTTCTGTGCCCACTTAGTCAGACAGAATTATATTATAGTCAGATACTACGCAAATAGAATACACTATTTTTCTAATGTTTTCCAGTTTTCTAATGCATACATAAGCTGTTGCACAATAGGCTCTATGAACAATTGGAAGTTTCGTTTCTCTTTTACTCTTTCAAATCATATTCAACCTATATTGATGACTTGCGAGTTTTGTCGGATTTATAGTACTATTGTGTCAGTGGCTTTTAGTTTTCTTTGGACGAAAACTTTATGCCTCTTTTTCTCCTTTTTTTTATTAAAAATCCTTTTTTTCAAGAATGCTGAGCCACTTTTTTTTCCTCTTTTTTACAAAGTGTTGGCGGGATGCCAGTGTGTTTTACCTGCTATTTTAGAATGGTCATCGAGGAACGCTCGATATTTATTCTTTCGAGATGTTCCTTTCGACGATTCTGATATTCGAGATTTTTCCTTTCTGGAGTTTTTGAAATTTTTTCGAGATTTTGAGACATTTCTGTAATTATATGTGCATTATTCTACTGGTATTTTCACATTTGTTCATTTACCGATATAAAGAAAGTAGGCACAAATATTTTATAACGATATGACAAGAACCAAAAAGCAAAATAAATCGAATATGCCATACAAAATGTTTACGACCTGTCGGCATAACTTTTGGCAACATGCCTACATTTTTCTGCCGAGAAAACTTCGTGTTGACAATTCTTGATTATTTAAGAAATAATTATGAAACTCTGTACAATCGGAATGACCGTTCATTCTAATTCTCAATTCTGCATCAACAAAATGATTTGTGGTTCGATTTCTATTATCATTTTATAAAAATTTCAGATGAATGAAAATTCACTCTCAACACATATTGAAGATAGATACGGCAAAAAGATAACGGGGCTAATTTTTGTGCATTAGGCACATTTTCACTACCAAGAAGATAAGCTAAGAGATTATCACCTCTACGTTTAACAGTGCTCTTTCTCTTCTACGCTTTTTTACCGATTCAAAATGTCGCTAAAACCGAAGCCATTAAAAATTTGAAAATCAGTAGAAATCAGGAGAAAATCCTCACAATCAGCTCCTGAATTCAGGAGAATTTTTATCAGGAGAAAAGTTTGAAAATCAGGAGACTCCTGGCCAAATCAGGAGGTTTGGCAACCCTGCTGGAGACCTAGGTACGCCCCTGCTTTTTATAATCGTTTATAGCCGGAATCGAAAATCGTCAGCGTTACTGCTGGTAGTGCGAATAAATGTATGACATAAGATAATACAATGAATAGTGTTTTTATCAACTTAGAATTTTTGCTTGTGAATAAAAAAAAACAACTATAATTTTTCAATTTTTTTTGATTTTCAAAACAAAAACTTTTCATAAAGAAAACAAAATCTTTTATTAAAATAGAATAAAAGTTTAAATTTAAATATGAATAGGAAACATTATTTAATATTGATGATTTATGTCCAACAAATGCACCAAAACGATGTGAATGGTGTAGAGGTCCATATCATATTCGAAAACGTTGTCCAAAATTAGCATCATTAGCAAATGAAAACGAAAAGAAAAAACGAACAACTAATTATACTACACAACAACATTATATGAACAATCACTCGACATATTTATCAAATAAGTCTCGAGACTATGTACAATCTAATAATAATGGTAATGGATATCAACAACCAAAATCTGCTCCACCTAATCAACGTCCATTTCAATATACAACCAATGAAAAACGAAGAGACTTTCATAATTCATTAGACGAACCAACAAATAATTCACATCGTTCACATCAACATAATCAGTTTAGAAAAGAATGTTATATTTGTAATAGTACTGATCATCTTAAAGCACAGTGTCCATTACAACAGAAAAATACAGTTCAACGACAAAAACTTTCTAGCTAACTACTTATCTTAAGTTTTTTTTTTTTTTTTTTTTTTTTTCTGTATATATAAAATTTGCGATATTTAATCTTGTCTTTTGTGTGCCTTTTTTTGTCGCTAAAGCTTTTTTTTTTTCTTGTTCTTTGTCGGTTATATTTTCTCTATTCCTAGATTATCGCTCTTGTCTTATCACCATGTGTTGTTAAGTATATGTCATTGTCGTTGTCATCATGTGCCATTGAGTTTTTTTCCTTTTTTTTTCTTGTGTTGTTGAGTCTTTTTCCTACTCGAGAGACTTTTAAAAATCGCTGATTTCATACTTGATTATTCCGCTTTTCTTTGTGGAAAGTTGACAACAGATTTTTTTTTCCTTTTCTTTTGACTAGATATGATGACGGATACAGCTGTGCAACAGCAAACAGATACTAATGGGCAAACATTAGTGACAGCATCTGAACGAGAAGCTATAATTCAAAGATTGTAAGTGGAGACAATGCGTTTTTTTGTTGTCTATGAAGTGTATCCTATTTCTTTGTACTTTTCATTAAATATAGAACTACAAAATGGACCATGGATTTGTCAAAACGAGTCGAAAGTCTTGCATATGACAAATCACGTGGTGTTAAAGTAAATTATTTAATTGAAAATAACAATAAATTAGCTTTTGATATTTTATCGTAGCCTATTTATTATAAATTTGTTCAAAATTATCATCAACAAGTTCAAAGTGAGTGTTATTATTTAAAAAATTCATAAGATGTTTATCAAGTTGACTGAGGCATCTACTACTTTTTTATTCATTATATGTCAGAAACAAAAAAAAACACATGACCTTTTGTTAATTATAAAATGGATAAAAACCGTTTGCCCTATTAATTAAACATCGCACTTTTATAGTGAAAGCTAAAATTAGAAGCCATTCTTATTGTAATGGATAGAAAAGGAAGTCAAAAATCAAAATACTATATTTTAACTAATTCTTAGACGCATATCAAAATCGTGCACAACAACAACAACAACAAATACAACAATTGCAACAACAACAACAACAACAGCAACAACAACAACAACAACCACAGCAACAACAAACATTACAATCATTAAATAATAATGCACAATATACAAATCAACAATTGAATCTTTCACAACAATCATCAGTACCTATGGTTAATCAATCACAACATCCATTAAATACAATGCTTAATCAACAAATTCGTTTTTCTTCGACACAACAATCATTACAACCTCGTATGGCAAATCCACAAACGGGTGTTATTAATACACAAACAGGTATTCTCAATCAAGTTGTAAGACTACGTGATCCACAAAAATTCAATCAATGTAAAATATTATTTTTTTTTTTTAGTTCTCATTTTAATTGTTTATTTTTTAAATATTCTAGCATCTCTGAATACAGTTCAATTTACATCATCACCATCATCACTTAATTCAGCTTCAACATCATCAACAGTACAAAAAATTGATTTATCTCAAAATTATGCAGGTCAACAACAAATAAGTAATACAAATCTTAATGATTACTTATCTCAATCAACACTAGTTCAAAATCGATATTCAAATCAACAAACAATAAATCCACGACTACGTACAGCAACGAATTCTAATGGTTTATAATTGAATTTATTTTATTTTGATGAGAATTAAAATATATTAAAATTGATTTTATATATTTTAGGAAATTTACCACAAGTATCAACATCGAATAATGCAAATGATATTTTACATCAATTTGTTGTTGGAAATCCACCAACAAATTCAATGGCATCATCGTCATCATCATCATCATCATCATCACCATTATCATCAATGGTAACACCAGTAACAAATACATCTTCAACCGGTGATAGATGTTAGTGTAATCTAATGAGAAAAATTTTTTTTATAAATCCAATTTTATTATTATTTTAGTATTACAACAAATACTTTTGGCTAATAATGATGGAACATCAAATAAAATGTCTATACAAAGTCGACAACCATCATTACCACAATCAACAGCATCGATTATGGTACGTTAAAGAAAAATCTTTAAGACAAGTTCAATTTTTGTTTTAAATCTTCTCAAAGAAAATTCTCGAATTATTATTATTTTCTAATGCGTTTTTATTGTATTAACAATCTTTGTCAGAGATTAAAATTTTTCTACTCTTAATATAAAATTTATTATATATAATATTCAAAGATGATCATATATAGAACTTTTAAAGTATAACAATAAGCAATCGCACATTGATCTAAGTTGTCAAGTAGAAAAAAACTTGATTTGTTCGAAGCGAAAAAATATTTGAAAAATTTTCTTCCATTTTCCTGACAATGTCTTAAGCTTCTCTGATACAAATTGATATATGTCTTCTTTGCTGTTGAAGAATTAGATAAAAAATTGAAATAAGAAAAAAATAATAAAATTTCATTCAAAAGTATCTTTTTATGATATAGACAATATTCTACTAAATATTTTATGTGTCTCTTTTGTTTTTTTCATAGTCACAACCAATTCGTTTAGCCAATGCAACGAACAGTAGTATGGTTAACAGTATAAATTCCCTTCGATCATCATTAGCATCTCAACAACCATCACCTTCACCATCGGTTACAATAATGTCAACAACACCTCAAGCTCCATTATCAAACGTTCAAATTCAACCGTAACACTTTTAGTTTTCATTATTTAAAAAAAAAAGGTTCTTTTCATTGTCTCTTAAAGATCTAGTAATGTTACTATTCAACAAAGTCCTTTAAATAATAACAATGGACCATTTTCGGTAAATACACAAACCATGCCACAACCATCATCAATAACAATGAATAGTTCGACACCATCATTTAATAATTATTCATCACCAGTGAATCGCTCATTACCATTAACAGGTTAATATTTAATATCTATTAGTTGTTAAAGTTTAAATTTCTAAATAATCGATTTATAAAAGTTTAATTTGATCTTAATTAATTAATTTTATTCATTTCAATATTAAATTATCCTTTAGTTGAGCATTTCATTTTTGAATTTTTACTTAAACCAATTCGAAATTGATTCAACTTATAATCTATATTATTTTTAAATCATTCTATTTCTCATTGATTATAGTATCAATTACATCTATTTTGATCGTCACTAGTTCAATCTAATAGTTAAATAATAAAAAAAGTATTTTCTTACTTTCGAAAACGAATTTACCCAACTATTATTAATAGAAATGTAATAGATCTACATCAAACATTAAAAATTGGTATAGATAGTCTAATCTCGAGTGACTTGAATTAATACAGGTTGTTATCATATTTCACATCAACTCAGTTTACTAAGCATTTCGTATCAATTTAATCCCTTCTTTCAAAAACAATCAAACGAATCTTTGAGCAATTTCAAGCTCATTTAAAAACAGTTATTTGATTACGTTCTCGCGAAATATTGTTCTATCAGCTTTTACATATACTCATGAATATGTATCTCTGCATCGTTTGAAAATATCGAATACCTATTCTAAATCGAAATAAATACTCTTCAAATAAATTCTATCGACTAAATATATAATTGTAATAAATATTAACAAAAAGATTGATCAATTTTTGTTATCTAACTTTTCTACATCTTAATGATATATTATATAATCCAAAAAACAAACCAATAACTAAATAATCCTATACATATATACATGTTTATATTCAGGAAGTGGTAGTATTTCAAGTCCAGATGAAGAAACCATTAATTTAATAAAATATCTTAAAGATAATATTGGTAAAATTCAGGCATTATGTCAAAAATTTACAAATGAAGGTAATTTAAATAAATTTACAACAAAACTTTCATATGTTTCTTCGTTTTTAAAAAATAAAGGTTTTCCAGAAAAAGCTCGTAATGCACTAGCTGTTCATCAACAAATGATTCAATTTATTAATAATCCAACTCATGAAAGTTTAGTAAATGCAAAACATATTCGTGATAATCTTGAACGAGCTACTGTAAATATCTTTTTTGAAATATTTCTTAAATAATAGAAAGAAAAAAATTTTTTTTTTTTTAGAGTCGATCACAACAATCAACTTCATCAGTATCAAATGTAACAGTAGTAAATACTTCAATGCCAACACAAACACATGATTTAAATCAAATTGACAAAGCACTTAATGAATATATTTCACGTGACCAAAAAAAACGACTTTTTATAAGTAAATTATTCATTGAACCATTAAGTGATGTTGTTAATGGTATACCACATAAGTTAGTTTATTTATATTTGACAAAAAAAAAAGAAAACCTTTGTTTTTTTTTTTTTGTTAAATTGTTTCTCTACATAGGAAAATTCGTCTTGATAATGATAATAGTTCAAATAGCATTAGAATAACACCAGAAAATATTTCATCATCAAGTCAATCATCATCATTATTATCTTATCTTAATGATGAATTTGTTTTATTACCAGCTAATACTTTTCTTATTGAATATTTACCAATATCACATAAAATAAATAATAATGAATTAAATGATGATTATTTATATAAAAATGGTATTATTATTCGATGTAAATTATTAGAATCACCAAATCCTCTTATACCATCATTACGACTACGCATTTCAACACGTTATCCTCAAGAACAACCAGAAATTTTGTCATTAACAAAATCTATGCCACCAAAACTTGAATTTTCAGGTAAATAAAAGAATTATTTCTAATAGAATATTTAATAAAGAACTTTTTCAATAAAATTCTTCAAAATATTCTATCAATTATTTTCAATGATCTTTATAAAAATAAAATAAATATTCTTTACATAAATAAATAGAGTATGTTCGTTCGCGGCTTACATGAATTAACAAAACCTTGACTACAATCTATTATTTTTAACATAAATCTAAAACAGATGATAAACAACTTTTCTAAGAAAAGCTCATATGTAATCTGTTGATGATATAATCTTTAATGATCTTAACTTCTTAAGGAGAATGTATTTTATGATTGAATTTTTTCTTTCATTTTTGTACTAATTTGTGTGTGTCTCGATTACTGTATGAATGAAGTTGAAAGTATTGATGCTAATATTTTAAGTTACAAATTAAATTGACTGAAATCTTCATTTGCAAATAAAATAATTTAAAAATCAATAAGAATGTATTTTGTTTTTTGAAAAAAAAAATTTTCAATGATAAATCATTTGATTTAATTTGAATTCAAATGCAAATTTTTCTTATTCATCTCGCATTCTATTTTATATCAGTCGTTGATTCAATAAACTGTTCGATAAACATTAAAAGACAAAGAATTTTTTTTTAAATTTTAAGACAAATAATTGCAATGTCAAATATAATGTTTAAATAATATCAAATTTCTATTAGAATTTGTTCATATTTATCATTGTTCACTCAACTAATTATCTTAGCTCTAATAATGAATAATATTAAATCTTAGTCAAATAAATTTTTGTCTTCTTTTTTTTTTCAATATGTAAAAAAAAAATAATCGAAATTCATAAATTTATCTATATTAAATCAGACAAAAGAAATTATTTGATTTTATCTATTTAGATGGCCATCCATTGTTGGAACAAATCTCGACATTATTTGTTTCTTATCTATTTAAATTACCTCCTCAATATACCGTAACTGATATTCTCAATATTTGGGTAAATTATTGTAGTATATATATTTATCTATTGAATATGATTAATATCTTTTAGCGTCAATCCGTCCAAGCTGCTATGTAAAAATCAATGATAATGTGCTGTTTAAGGATAAGATTACATGTATACTTTCTATAAGGCTCAATACAATAAACCAAAAACCTTTCGGAAGCACACCTGTGAATATATTTAGTTGTTTTTATCGTTTTCTTGTCTCTTTTATTTTTTTTCCCCCCCCAGTGGTAAAATATTTTTCTTGTTTTTTCTTTTTCTTCTGGTAAAGATTGATCATTTATATTTACAAATGTATGACAATGATTGCTTGTTTTGCCCAAGGTGGACAATAAGTTGTGATTCATTTTGTTTTTGCTTTTTTTTTTTTTTTTTTTTATGTCTGTCTTTCAAAATATAAGCGGGGAGTTTGACATATGTATATGTATATGGTGTTTCCCTTCGACTTTGCCTCATCTTTATTTTAGAACGTCTTATGTTCTTTTTTTTTCTGTTGTTTGAAAGAATCTCTGAAGTTATCCATCATATATATATATATATGTATAATTATCAGTTTGATTTCTATATTTGTGCATTTTATTTCTCATTTTGTTATGCTAGTGGCTTGTTTTTTTTATTATATACACAGAATAAGCGTGCATGAAATGGGAAAGCTGAAATAAAACAGAAAAAAAAAAGAATTCTAACAAGAAGCGTTTGTTTTTTGTCTAACTAATACATGGAATGTTCTTGAATAAAAAAAAACACAAATAAAGATTGACCTAAATATGTATGTTGGCTATTTTGTTTTTTTTTGTTCTAGAAATCTAGGATAAATTAAGTGAGCTTAATTCCTCGGTAGGTGGGTTAGTTGCTTCTTCATTTGTTGTTGTCGTTGTTGTTTCTGTTTCTGTTTCTGTAAGCTGTGGTGGTGGTGACAATGGCGGTGGTGATGATGCTGGTGGGATTGGATCAAGCATTGTTTTAAGTAAATCAATACGATCCATAATAGCTGTACATTTTTCACGTAAATAAACACGTGATTGTTCTGTACCTTCAGTAAACATTAATTCTTCAAGAAGAAGATCAACACATATACGATAAAGATGTAATGCAGCGGGATATTTTTTTTGTTCGTCATATGTTTGCGCTAAAACATAATTTTAAAAAATAAATTTTCGTTTTCGTTTTCTTTTTTTCTTTTATCTACCTTCAGTTAACATTTGATGAGCCGCAGTTATTCGAATAAATTCATCATCTTCACCTTCTGTTTCTTGTTGTTGTTCGTCTAATTGTTGTTCTTCTTTTTGAACTTCTATTAATTGATTATCCTGAGAATCTTTTTCAAATAAAATATTATTTTGATCATTATTAGTATTTTGTTTAGATTGTTCTTCACCAGTGGAATTACTTAAAGGGACGGTAGACAACATTGTTGAATTATTTTCATGTAATGCTATGGTTTTTGATTCAGATGTCACCGTATCTGTCGAAGTTTCATTGTCTTTGTTAGTCATTATCAAATATAGATTGATAAAAAATTCATCAATAAATAATCAAATCGATAAATGAAAGAATGAAAAATCTAGAATAAAGTTCATCACCTATATATAAGTTGTATCGAGACATTTGTTCAGCTTGCCTTTTTCTGTCCTTCTTTCTCTTTCTTTCTTTCTCTCTTTCTTTTTGTATGCGTATAGAATTGTACCTTCACAGAAATACTCCCGATATATTCTTTTTTCTTTTTCGTTTGTGATCGTAGTAATCGGCTTATTTAAAGAACAACTATAATGACAATATCAGACAACTATTTAGTAGGAAGAAAGAAACAAGTGCAAATAAAAAAAAAAAAAACTTTGTTCTTTTCTCGTTTGTTCTCTTTCTTCAGATATTGATCATCAACCATAAATCAATATCAAACAAAATGGTTGATGATGATGAAGCACCCTTGATTTATGGTGTAGAATTTCAAGTAAGAAAATAAATATGTAATGTAATTTGAAAAATATTTTTCTTTTTTTTTTTGATAATAGGCTCGAGCATTATGTGCAGTTAGTGGTGTACAAGATGATGATACAGTTCGTTTTCTAGTTGGTACTCAATCAATTAAATTTGAAAATCAAGTAAAAACAAAATAAGAAAAGAAAAATAGAAATTTTTGTTGTTTTCTTTTTGTTTCAGGTTCATTTTCTCGAATATGATGAAGAATCAGGTATGTTAGGAAAGTCAATCTATGCTCATCGAGCTGGAGAAATTTGGCGTATGGCTTCATCACCAAATGATCATCGTCATTTTGCAACGATATATCAAACTAGTAAAAAGAAATTTCTCTTTGGAATCGAATTTTTAAATAAAATTTTTTAGTTGAAGATTCTAATGTTGTGAGTAAATGCACAGTATGGCAAATTCCAATAGATTCTACAAATGATGAATCAACTTCGGCAATAATTGATGATTCATCAAATCAACTTCATCAACCATTACGAAAAAGATTTGATTTAAATGTTCCTAACTCAAATATAATTGAGTACGAAAGAGAAACTATAACTTGACAATAAGTAAATTTTTATTTTGTGTTTTATTTAGTATTGAATGGGAAACAAATGGCGAACGAATTGGAACAATAAGTGAAACAAATATTTATATATGGAATATCGAACAACATGATTCACCACAAATATTATCAACTGGTTCAATTGATTCAAAAAGTGGTGCACTTCATAAATTATCTTGTTGTCGATGGAATCCACATATAAGTACTAATCAATTAGCAACTACTCTTGGACCACATATACGTGCTTGGGATTTAAGATCAATGAAGTGTGACTTTTTTTTTTAAAATTTTGATTTAATTGAAAATAATTATTTTATTTTTAGATATTCATTTTCAATAGATAATGCACATCCACCATATGTTCGTGATATTGATTATAATCCTAATCGTCAATATCATTTAATGACATGTGGAGATGATTGTCGAGTTAAATTTTGGGATGTACGAAAACCTAATGAATGTTTGAAAATATTAACTGATCATTCTCATTGGTTAGTCTCTTATGGCTTTTTTTTGGGTTTAATATTTAAACAAAATATTTAGTTCAAAAGTTTAAAGATTAGATCTTGTATGATCAAATCTTGATAATGGAACATATGATGATTTTTATAGACAGATACAAAAAATATGAATGATTTTAAATATCTTATGCTACCTTGTCTGATGTTCCTGTCTTTTCATAATTTTTCCATTCTGTTCATTATCAAAACAATTATAACTACAGAATAAATACTATTTGAAGGAAATATTTTTCATTTTAACTGACATCTGAAAGGGAAGAGGGAGGAAATTTTGTCAAATAGATCTTTAAAAATTTCATTTGTTTGGTTTATTTTTTAGGGTATGGTCAGCACGATACAATCGTTTTCACGATCAACTTATAGTTACATCGAGTAGTGATACTCGTGTTATTCTATTTAATATAGCTAGTCTTTCATCCGAACCCTATGGAAGTTTAAATGTATCGGATGATTCAAAGTAATATTTTCACAACAAAAAAAAAAAAAAAATTGAAAAACTATTTTTTTGTTTGAAATTAATTTCAAGGGAAGAAATGGAAGAAACAGTAAATGAAGATCGTCTAGTACGTGTATTTGATGAACACGAAGAATCAGTTTATACTGCTCAATGGGCATCAAATGATCCTTGGTTATTAGCATCTCTTAGTTATGATGGACGTCTTATACTTAATCGTGTACCAAAAAATGAAAAATTTCAAATTCTTCTCCGTTGTCCAACTTAAATAAAACAAACAAAAAAAAAAAGGAAAAGAAAACTTTTTAAATACAGACAAATGATTTTTATTTTGAAAATGTTCATAAATAAGTAAATGACGAATTAATTAGTTTATGGAGACATCAATGATTGTAAAAATGATGATAAACTAGATTGTAAAGATGATGATGATGATGTTAATGGTAAAAATGAATAAGGTGTATGATTTGCTGATTGTAATGACTCATTGGAAAATAAATCATATGCATATTTTGTATATTCATGTAATTCTGGTCGACATGCAAGACTCTTTAAAATAAAAGAATTTAAGTTAGATTTTACTCTTATTTATTTAGGTTTGTTGTTTTTCTTTTTTCAAATATTACATTGATGATAAAAGCTTAACAAAAGATAGAGAATTTTATTTTCATATCATTCAATAATATATATATAATTAAAAAGATACTTTAGTACATAAGACAAAAAAAACAATGGTCCTATATGTTGTCATTTTATACATTTTGCAGCCGTTTACAGATGTAAATTAATGTTTGACAAGTACAGTATGATGACTGTATCTTATAATGTCGTACAGTGGTCATCAAATTGAGATTCGACCACTTACGATAGTAATTAGAGATATGCGAAACTAACTTTACTTTAAGTCTGATCACTAGGACCCTAGTATCATAGGAAGGAGAAGATGTTGAGACTGAAGTCAAAACTAGAAGAACCAAGCTGTCTCAATTGGAACTGAAGAGTGTGATTCAATGTTCTATGGCTTTAAGTGAATTATTTTATACATGATATCAATAAGAACATAATTCAAGAGAGACGACACAGAGAGTACTAATTGATGATTAAATAAACAGAAAAAACAAGTATTGCAGAAATTTTTCAGACATGATAAAAATGAATCTTGAAATAGTTTTCTCTAGATGGATACCGAAATTCGAAAAACTAAACTTTAGTCGTAACACTTCGTTTAGCAAACGGTGAACAAACCATCTAATATGGACTTGCTTCTTTGATCTCTTTATTATAAAATTGTAACAAATTCTAACTACGATACCACTCATACGATAAGCAATCAATATGTTATAACTTGCATAACGATTATATCGAAGGAAATGTATATGATCAGTATGTACCTTCATAACATTTTTTTTTTTAAAAACTTTTATCTTGATCAAATATAAAGATTGACTTGTTTTACTATTCATTTATGATAGAAACTCGATATGCTTTTAAATCTATGTTATAGAGAGCTATAAATTATTCAAAATCACGGCAAATTCCAAAGAAAAGAAAATTCATTTTGACTATGTCTTATTTCATACAACTATACTGAAAAACTGTAAGCATTATAAAATAATACAAATCTTATTTCTCATTATTTATTTCAATTCATTATAATTTAATTGATGAAATTTAATTTTTATTTGTTGTTGATTTCTATTTAAAATCAGTAAAGTAAAAATTCTAGGCATTAAATATTCTTTATATTTAATTATAGTAGTCAATTCTTATAGAAAAAAATAAAATTCTTTATCTTTTGAAATTGAATTTAATCTAAAATACTAAAATTTGTTTAAAAAAAAATCTGACCTGAAAATGAAGCATAAGTTGTTCATGATGACTTGATAATTTTGTATAAATATTATTACTCATAGGAACTATTTTAGCAAAAGGTAATTGTGCTTCGTTAATTATTGTTGAATCATTTCTAAAAATCAAAAATAACAAAAACAAATTTTTGAATAAATATATAATTACAAATTATTTTCTGATGAATTAATTATTGTTGGTGATGTTTTAGCCATTTCTCGAGCTAATTCATCATAAATATTAGAAAAACTTTGATCAATTATTTGAATTAATACACGTTGAAATGTTTCACTAGTAACAAAATAAAATTTTTAATAAATAAATTATTCTTAAATTAAAAACTAAACCTTTCAATCATTTCAATACATTCAATTTCAAATTGTTGTTGAACATTAAAAACCGATGATGGAGAATGTACTCGTTTTGTAATCAATGAACTAGCCTATTATTTTGAATATTTAAATATTTGTCTTAACAAAAAAAAATAAAAATAAAAACAACTTACTGTCGTGATAATATTGGAAAACGAATAAGCTGACGTTGTTGTTGTTGCTGGTTGTGTTGATCGTATTGGAAATGAAATTGATCGAACATATTTAAGTAATGGATGATGATTATTAACTGATTGATATCGTTTTTTTTCAATTTGATGACGAATTTCACTAAAATACCATATAATATCATTTATGTCAAGCATTTGTTGAAGTGGAATTCTAATTAATACAAAACAAAAAAAAAAAAACTTTATTTAAACATTTATTTAAATAAATATTTTTTACCTTGAAAGAATTGATTGAGCAGCTTTTCGTACATCATCAATCAAACTATTCATTCCTAAGAAAATCATACAAAGAAGAAATAAACAAAAGGATTTCGATGATTTACACTATTTATTGTTCGTTGATTATTTTGAAGAAGAATAATAATGAACAAATGAGTAGAACATTGCAACAATCAATATATTGTGAAAACAAAAAAAAAAAGACAACGAGAGAGAGAGACGATCATTTAATTTTTTTTATCGAAGTTAAAAATATTTCAATTTAGCAGCTTTCAAGAATGCTAACATATCAATATGACATTCATGCATTTATCTATTACAGTTTTATGTTTTCGATATTGTACCTCTCAAGTCATCTCGTATCCTTGTAATCGATGCTCAAGATTGTTTTTTTTTGTAGTAAATTAATCACAATATAAATATTTATATGTGAAGAATTCATATGTTTTCTTTTCATTCGAGAATATTGACCTTCAATATGATTAATTGTAAGTAATGTTATGTTACATTTTCGAAAATTTATTCAGATTTTTTTCTAACGATGTATTGATTATTTCTTGTCTTCAAGATAATCAACGAAAAGTCAATTCGTATATAATAAATCGTGCATACAGATTATGATATTCGAAAAAAAAATGAAATAAAATTCGAACCTGCATCTGTTGTATAACGAATAACATCAAGACAAGCTAGTTGAATATCTCGTGAAAGTAATGAATTATGATCTTGAGTTGACTATTTAATAAAACAAAATTAAAGATTTTAATTTTAGTATTGTTTGCTTTTTTGTTTTAGTTAAATTTTACTTCAGCATGAGATGATTTGCTTGTTGCTGATACACCACCAGCTGTTGTTGTTACAGGATTATCTTTTATTGATAAATGTTGTAATTGAGATTGAGAATAAAGTCGACCACTTAGAGCACTAACGACTAATTCAGTTAAAGCTAGTACAAAACTTGAGCTGTAAGCAAAAGTAAATAAACGAGCGAAACCTATATAAGAAAAAAAAAATATTCAAATTTGTTTTTTTTCAATCGAATAAATATTTTTTTTTTTTTTGTTTTTATAGTTACATTCAACTCTCAATTGTTCCCATAATTCACGTTTTTCTGTCGAACTAGAAAATAAGAAAAAAAAACAAAAAATTTATGTTTATTTTTCGTTGATAACATACTCAGATATTGTTGACAATCTAGCAAGAATATTTTCACATTGAAATCTACGATTAATATTAAGTACAACTTGTGCAAATATATCAGTACCTAACAAATATGATTAATTATTAGAAAACAAAAAATTATTTATTATCAACTAACTTGTTCTTAAGCTTGTATCACGATTATGTTCGTAATAGAGTTGTTTTTTCCATTCTGTCAACATTTTATCTTGATCATTTAGCATTGTCGCTAATTTACCATTTATAAAACGGAATGCTGCATAACCGCCTGAATATTAAAAAAACAGTACATATATATATATATATGATATGTAAAAAAGTTAGAAGTCTATTATTACGAAATCACATAGTTGAAGTTCGATAGATCATTTGTCATGAGAAAAGCGTATCTTGAATTTTGAATTGTAACATATTAAGAGAGAACTCATGAGAGGAGTAAGCAATAGAAGTACTTATTAAAATTTGCTTTTCTTTTTTAAATATGCATTCAAAAGACTTTTCATTCGAAACTACGAAACTCAAATCTTGTTTACTTGAATATTTTACATTATTGTTACCCTTGATCAACGTTTTAAATATAATTCTTCACTAACAACAAAATAGTAATGCATCGCTCCATATATAGAAAAATTCACAATCTACTTACCGAAGTCAAATAATCCAAGAGATATGGAAAAAGTCAGAATTGATCAATTTTATCGTCTAATTTTAGATCGTATATCAACTGTCATTTATTGGACTTAATAAACATCATATTGCAGTTTTCATATGTAATATAACTTTTGATTCTATACAAAATATTGTACAAGAAAATTTGCATTCGATGCGAAAAAAAAGTCTACATTGTAAATATTCAAGTGAGCATTGTAGAAGAAAATAACGTCTGGCACTTTTTGATGTCCTTCAATCATGAAAATTTTCATCCCAAAGTAATTCAGACTTGAAGCTGAATAAAATAACATAGGTAATATCTTCACAAAAAAATCAAAACTAATAAAGATAAACGGATTTTGAAACGCTTGTTTTTTCATGGAATCGAATAATAATCATTCAAATAAATAGAGATTAGGATGTTGATCACAGATTTTATGATCAAAATTCATTATTAATTGTAATTTAGTGTTATACTACAGACTCCTTGAGGCCATAGAGTAGCTAAGAAACTTCATGTGTTTCATTACAAGGTTATCCTAGACTACAATTGATAATGAGCTTAAATCATATTGTTGTGATCAGGATTCTAATCCTTACCTTTCTGAATAATTATTATTTGGTTACATGAAAAAACAAATTTTGTCTCGAAATTTTCGTATTCCTCTCGAATATGTTGAGAGACCAATACTTTCTTTTTTCTCTTTTTAAGAGAACTGTTTATGTTATTCTATTCAGTTTGAAGTCTGAATTTTTTTTTGTGTGATATGAAAATTTTCATGAATGCCAGACACTGAAGTGTTTGATGTCGTTTTTCTCGAGGCTATTTACTTGTCTATTTACAGCATAAACCTCTTTTTGTTTGTATCAAGTACAAAACTTTTTTCACAATACTTTACTCATTACCATTCTGTACAGAATCACTATGTACATAACATATGAGAAAGTTTAACTTGACATTTATTGATTTCAATAAATGGCAGTAAATATTTGGTTGAAAACTGAATATCAAAATTAATGAATTCTGATCTTTTATATTCGCCCTGAACTATATAACTTTTGGTAAATAGATAACATACAAAATTTTTGACAGATACTTTTTTTTAAAACTTTTTTGATGTCTTTATTTTTCGATATATTACAGGAAAAAATTCTCTTGTAAAAATATAATTCTAATAAATATCTATGGAATAATGCATCATTTGAAATATCGAACAAGACAAACATTAATGTAAAATATCGAAAAATAAATGAAAAATTTGAGTTTACTAATTTCGGATGGAAGTTTTTTGAATATGTGTAATAATAATTACAGGTTGAAGAGTTCTTGGTACATATGAGTTATTCTCGATGATTCTATAATTGTTCTCTTACGTGTTATAAACTCATTAGTAGAAATTACTACTTAGTTGAACTTCAATTTCATGCCTTTCATTGAATAAACAACTATGACGATAACGAATTTTTCGATTATGATTTTATTTGAAAATAAAACGAATAAAATTCAGATATCATTTATTTATAATTTACAAATATTAAGAGAAAATCTTTTTTGTCTATGAATCATAAAGCTCGATCAACACATTTGACACTAAATATCTCTTCAAATAATTGAAGATCATTCTTTGCAGTAGAATTACTCATTTTGCTTCTATTATGTTGAAAATAATTATTATTTAAAAAAACAAAAATAATGAATTAAATTAATGAAAACATAAAATTCCTCATCTATTTTCGATTGATTAACCTTGAACTAGTTCGATACTTTCTAAGAACAAAAGAAATCAATTTACCTCCAGTCAGTAATGATATGATGAAAAGTTTTCGACGATGTCGCTTAATAAATTGCCACATCAAGGAAAAAAAAATTCAATCTGAAAAACACAACAAATAATAGCTTTTCTTTTTTCTCTATTTAAAATGATTACTATCCCTCAAAAATAATATAAATAACAAAAGTAAAATTCACGTTAAAATTTCTCCATAAAGAGAAAAACGCTGTTCAAAAGTTAAAGATGAACAGGTTAATAAACTATAATTTGTCTTTATTGCACCAGATAATTTCTCGTTATCTTGATTTAATAATGAATTTCCTAACCATCTCATTTGCTCTTTTGTCTAGAATTATAAAAAAACAAAAAAAGAATTAAAAAAAAAAAATAATTTCGTTTTTTATTATTCTTTACCAATAAATTTTTTTCAATTTTATCCGATGATTTTTCAACTATTAATGATGATGATGTACAACAATCAAGTGAACCAATATCAATTGGATGTGCTTCTGTATTATAAATATAACTCGTATCAAGAAAACATGAACCTATTTTTATATAAAAAATATAATAACGAAAAAAAAGCAAAATACATATTTGAAATCTACCTAATGATGTTCGATGTTCTGTAGCATATTCTCCATTTGAATGTAAAAAATTATTTTCATCAAATATTAAATAAAGATATTTTATTGTTTCAGCAAGAAAAAATGATTCCATACGATTATCAAGATGATGATCTTTTACATTTTTTAACTAAAAAAAATTTTGGTTATTTTAGTTTTTTTTTTTCTCAATTAAAAAATTTATAATCAACAAAAATAATTCATTTACCGATGTATATCCACATGAAGTTTTACAACAAGATTCAATAGCATCAAATATATCAGCAGCCATAAATAAAAATGTATCATCATCAGTTGCTTTCGATAAATACATTATTGATTCAATATGTTCTAGAAGATTTTAATAGAATAATAAAAAAAAATTAGAATTGAATAATTTGAAGAAAATATTTTGATTTTTCTACCTGGTCTTAATGGATAACCTTCTCTACCTTGCATACAATCTTGTTGTGCAAGATTATAAAATTCTGGCATTGAACCATATTTTCTCCACATTGTATGATATGCATATAAAGTTTCACGTGCTCGATCAAGTTTACCAAGTAATGTCTAAACAAATTAAAATCAAATTTTTCAATCATCATTATAAGAATATTAATCAGCAATAATCCATATTGACTAGAAATGTGTCAAGTACGATCAAGTTCAAAAAATTCTTTTCAGTCAGATTACATATAAGCAAAAACTTTATCTTGCACATCTTTAACACAGCTTAGGTGCACATATGTATTAAAAGAAAGAACATTCACCAAAGAAAAAATACAGATATATATATATATATTTGAATTTATCTCACCAACAAACCTGGATAAAAAGCATCCAGTGATGCAAATAATGGCATTGTTTTTCGACCTTGTTGATAATTTGCAAAAACAAACCATCCCGTTCCATCACTCATATGTATATCAATTGCTTTTATATATTCTAAAATTTTTCAAATTAGTAATAAATTAAATATTTAATTTATTTACCATTCATCATATTCATTAGTTCTGGTTGTCGAAATAAAATTGCACCTTTTACTAAATATTCAAAATAAGAATCAACACCAGAACCAATTGTACAATCATTTGCTGTCCATTCACCTGTTTGAATATTTATATGATTTCCTATCTAAATATATTTTTTATAAATTTTTTAATAAAATTATTGTTTTTTATTTTACAAGATTGATTGATGATCGTTTTGACCATAGACTTTGTAAAGCTTTTAAGGCTGTACGCTCATACCTTAGATCACCGGTAAGACGAGATAATGTTCCAAATTCGATTAAAAATGTTCCACCACCGGCAGTACATGTTATATTTGTTTCTCCTATTGGTACACCCCAAACTAAATTTACTGTACCATAAGGAATTCCTTCAAATGAAAATATTACTTAAATTGAAAAAAAAGAATTTATTCAATCTACCTGTTTCAGTATCAAAAGCTACAAAAGCAAAAATAAAAGCAAATTGCAATAGATTTAATAAGATTATTATCTTTACCTGGTAAAATTTTATTGGCAAGAGCAACGGCAAGATCAAGTAATGGTCCTGTACATGGCCATGTAGAATCAACAGAAACATTCATACGTTTAGCAAGCAGATGAGCAGAAAGAAGACCACCAATAACTAAATCAATTATATAAATCAGAAATATCGAAAAGTTCTTTTTTTTTTCTGCAAAGTATGAATCACTCATGAATCAACCAATCGTTTCACGGGTAAGTTTCAGTTTGACTTTATATATTTTTGAAATACAATCTAAAAGGCATGTTAACATAAATAGGTAGAAATTTGGACTTATTCCTTACAGACATCTTGATAACATCTCAACTCCTATCATTAACTGCGACAGACACCTTAGCAACGCCTCCTTTCCTGTCATAGATAATGACAGACGTCTTAGCAACGACCTTGTTCATTTCACTCTGTGATAAACTTAGACATAGAATTATGGATAATTGTCTTTGACCTCCTTTCCAAACTCATTGTAATGTATGATGAATAACATCTCTTATCATGGACATAACAGTGCGTTAAAGGTCACTAACTAAAGAATACATTGCAGAATCCCTTGATTTACTATGTATGTGGATCCAAACGACAGAGAAAGAGACAAATGAAAGATGAAATGACCTCTATGTGTCATATTTGATTATTCAGTTAAACAATAAATAATAAGACGTTGAAA